TTTTTTTTTTTTTTTTTGAGACAGGGTCTCACTCTGTCACCCAAACTGGAGTGCAGTGGTGCAATCCTGCCTCACTGCAGCCTGGACCTCTTGGGCTTAGACAATCCTCCCACCTCAGTCTTCTGGGTAGCTGAAGCTTCAGGTGTGCACCATCACTCCTGGCTAATTTTTTGCATTTTTTGTAAAGACGGGGTTTTGCCATGTTTCCCAGGCTGGTCTCGAATTCCTGGGCTTAAGCAATTCGCCTGTCTTGGCCTCCCCAAAGTGCTGTGATTATAGGCATGAGCCACCACACCCAGCCCAAAAAGTTGCTGTATTTGAATCCAGAGTCCCAGTTCAACTATTAAATGATGGTATTTACCTTTGTTCCTCTGGAATAAATACATTCTTCTTTTGGCCTCTGAGTTTGTTTTATTTTCTGATTCTACCTTACACTTTTTTTTTTTGTCTTTTTTTCTGTGTGTGGAGAACAGGGTCTTGCTATGTTGCCCAGGCAGGTCTCAAACTCCTGGTCTCAAGCTGTCCTCCCACCTCTGCCTCCCTAAGAGCTGGCATTACAGGCGTGAGTCACAGCGCCTGTCTCTGATTCTATCTTATCTACAATTTTTGATACTTAAAATATTCCTATGGCAGGCCGGGTGCAGTGGCTCATGCCTATAATCCCTGCACTTTGGGAGGCCAAGGCAGGCAGACTACAAGATCAAGAAATTGAGACCATCTTGACTAACACAGTGAAACCCCATCTCTGCTAAAAATGCAAAATATTAGCCAGGCATGGTGGCACGAGCCTGTAGTCCCAGCTATCCGGGAGGCTGAGGCAGGAGAATTGCCTGAACCCAGGAGGTGGAGGTTGCAGTGAGCTGAGATCATGCCACTGCACTCCAGCCTGACAACAGAGCAAGACTCTGTCTCCGAAACACACACACACACACACACACACACTCCTATGACAATCAAGGATGATGGTTTATAGACTTGAGGTTCTCAGGCGTGGTGGCTCACGCCTGTAATCCTAGCACTTTGGGAGGCTGAGGTGGGTGGATCACCTGAGGTCAGGAGTTCAAGACCAGCCTGGCCATCATGGTGAAACCCCATCTTAAAAAAAAAAAAGATAAATAAGTTATATCCAGGGCAGGTGTTGTGGCTCACACCTTTAATT